CGGTTTACATTAGAGTCCGACCGATTCCCAATTTTTGGCCGATGCCGATGACGTTTAATCGGCCGGAGGGCAAAGAATCGGCCGATGCCGGTGCCGATTCCATAAAAAAAACTACCTGAATATAAATTCATTCAAGAACAAATGCTTTTAATAAATTTTAATAGTAACAAAAGAAAAACATAAACATATAACTAAATAAACTTACTTAATCATTCAAGAATCTATTTACTTATTTGTGTACATACATAAATATCTTAAAAAATAGTGTATAGCTTATACATATCACTGCAATACTTTGTTCCATAGTCTTTTCGTTATTCAATGTAAAATAAATAGTTCATTCGAAATTACATTTCCTAGTTGTACTCATAATAGTAAAAATATGCAGCTTCTGATGACTATAAATGTGTTTTCAGTACAATTTGTTTTCAAACAGTAACCGCAGATTTTAAAATAATGATGAAAGTATTGTTACAACGTAAATAATTTTACAATCCGGTGAAAACAACCCGAAATATTCAGGAATTCAGCGATCAATTCAAAGATAATTGTAACAATATATACAGTGACGAAAATATAAATACGCAAGAGACTTTTTAGCATTCTTTGGCTATTTCCCTTTCGTTTATTTATTGTTTATTACTTTTTTATGAAAGTGTGGCTCGTTATCTAACAAAAACCATGTAAACAAAAATTTCCAACCTTGTACAAAAATTAGCAAAATTCAACAGCTTTTTAATTAGATTTTCTAGAAACATTCTGAGTATGCAGCTTTTACAGCCCATTCAATTTTATTATACGAAGTGAAGTTTTAAGTAGCTAGGACTTTACGTTGATGTTTGGCAACTTTTTTGTGGAAAGTGTTGCTGATTTTCTCCATAAAAAAAAATTTCGTACATACTTTGTATGGAAGAAAATGCGTGAACAAAAAATTGTCAAAAATCGACGATAAGCCCTCTATTATACAAAAAATAAAAAAGCTACACACTCAAAAAAGTTCTATAAAATCTGATTTATCAGTTTCAAACTTTGATGAACATTTGTTAAAATTTGTCGAATTTTTATAAATGTTCTGCAAAGTTTGAAATTTTTTTTTGAAATAAACATTTTTTAAACAAAGAAAAATAGCCAAAACTTGCTAAATGTGTCTTCCCTATTTACATTATCGCCACCGTACATCATAAACACGAAACATGAGAACACATTTATGACAGGAAGACTCAGATGCATTAATATTTTAAGATTTAAGGGAATTAAAAAAGTAAAAAATAAATAACATGGAATGAAGTGCCAAAAAAGTAAAAAGAATCGGCTAAGAATCGGCCAAAAACGGCCAGTTGTGCCATTCTTTTCTAAGTCGGACTGATTTCGTAAAAAAATAATGTCATGTCTCCGATTCGCTTCATATATTTTTTGTGGCTTCTATACATGAAATAAGCGAACACGTATTTTTTTTAATTTTTTTTTTCGGAGATATGATCTATCAATGTTTGGATTTTTTCGTGATTCTGACCAATCATGTACTTATTCAAATCGTTATATCTCGGGTTCTTCTCTTCGTAGAGACTTCATGTTAACGTTGTTTCAAAACCAAAGAAACGGGCTTAACGTTCCTATATATCAGATAGTCATGACTAATGTGACCAACCGTACTTCTTTCGGAAGTACAGTACTTCTTTTTTAACTCTTGTACTTCGTACTTCGAAGTACAGTCAAATATACTTCTTTGTAATATTTTGTACTTCAGGTCCTTTAGTTCTCCGATTTTCTTGACGATCGTCACATAATTCGTTCAAACCATTAAAGTCGCCGGGACCGATGGCATCATACTTGCGAACTGGGTACATCTCTAAGGCTTGGAGGGTAGTCAGTGTTGCATTCATCCCGAAGGCCGGAAAAGGATCTCATGATTTTAAGCCATCAGTCTGTCTTCGTTTTTGCTAAAATCGATAGGGAGTTGTATAGAACTGTACATAAGAAACGCGATTCCTCGTGACTATCTTTCAAGAGCTCAACATGCGTATTGCAAGGTCGGTGGATACCACCCTGCACACATTGCTAAAGTGGTCAAGGGAAGCCTTCACGTAGTAGGGGCCTTCCTCGATATCGAGGGAGCCTTCAACAATATCACTCCAGAGGCAATAGTCAAGTCTATTCATAATCTGGGGGTTGAAACCAAACTAATAAGGCTTATCTACAGCTGACTTTGTGACAGAACTGTCGCGCCGAAGTGGGGGAGCGCCTGCACTCAGTGCAGAGACAAAATGGGCCCTCCGCAAGGTGGTGTTCTCCCTCCCCTGCTCTACGTTGCGGTTGTAAACGACCTTCTAGAGGAACTGGAAAAAGTTGGATGTCGGGTGATCTTCTATGTAGATTACGTGGATATTTTGGTTAACTGACGATTTCTATAACCCTTTTTTTCTGCCTCCTGGCTGATGCAGGTAACTAGGTGGGCGATCAAGAGCGGCCTCGCAGTAAATCCCAGCAAAACGGAATTGGTCTTGTTTACCAGGAAGTACAAGATACTCGTTGTGGCCCTTCCCTCGAGTGGGGTTGTTCGTCTGCGGCTCTCAGACAGGGTCAAGTAATTAGGCGTGCTCCTGGATAGGAAGCTGTCGTGGAGGCCTGACATTGAGGAAAGGGTAAAAAAGACATCGGTTGTCTTGTACTGCTGTAGGGGAGCTATCGGTAAAAGGTAATTTATAAGCTCTCTGGAACCAGATTTAAGCTTATCTTGTTTCACGGAGCCCTTGTCTGGTGGAACCCGCTAGAGAAAACTACACTTGTAAATTAGGAATTAGTGGAGCATTAGGAACCACAGCTATGCTGCTTAACGTCATGTTGAACACGGATCTGAGGATATTGCAGACAAAATTTTAGCAGCACGGACTGCTAGTAGGCTAAGGGAAACCGGGTGGTAACACTCTGGATTTCTGGGGGGGCTTTGACTTCGCCCTGAACACATAGATTACAACAGAATGAATTACAACACAATGAATCCCAGAAGCTCCTTCTCTACCTGTATTCCCTCAAAACAGGACTGGGTAGGGCGGGCTTACTAAGGATTCCGGACTTCTGCAGTGTCTTTCAGGTGGAAATACATAGCTGCTATCAAGGAAGAGGTAGACTCACTGCTAAAGGGTATAATGGTGCTTTCCCAACTAGCACCAAAGTAACAGAAACGGAGACGGAAACCTATAGCGAGTTACTATTACGTAACCTTCACTAAAGGTGCGACTTAGATGTACAAGTAACTTTATTTGACATATTTCCAGTAGCTGCGAGGTAGTTTCTACCAATTGTGATTACTTTAAAATTATGTGACTTTTAAGTAGCATTACCGGTATTGCGGAAGTCGTTGCTACCAGTAAGCTAACCATAAAGTTTTTAGATCTTGAAAGTTGCAAATAGCAAGCGCGGCGACTAACCCACGTTACTGAAATGCAACTGCAAATCTGCAGCTACTTTTAGGCAACTTTGGTAGTTTTCGCGACGTTGTGGGGTCCTTAGTTTCTTCTTCATATCCATGGAACTTGTAAGTCATATCTGTGAGTGATAAGGTGTCCGCTACCTGCTGACCAAAACCTCACTGTCGATTGCTACTGCAGAGTCCGTGGCACCTCTTAAATTCACCATGAAGTAAATTGCACGATCAAGTCTCACAAACTTCCATGCTGTTCCGCATTGTGTGTTGGTGCGTTCCTATAAGGTTAGTGATGTGTTGTTCAGGAAAATAATGGCGTCTGTTGGCACATTTAAACACAAAGAAAAAAAATACCGGCATTCAACGACTTTTTACAGAAAATTAAAAGTCTTAAAGGCAAATGCCGTTGACAGTGGCGTTGTGAAACAATATTTTGGCGGTGGAAATAAACCATCAAAAATACAAAACAATGTAAGCATCAGGTTGCTTCTATCAACAGAGCAATTGAATGAGTCCAGTAGCTCCGAAAACTATTCAAAAATAAAAGATAAAGTAAATAGTGATGATGACTGTGGTAATGATTTTGAGGAGTCATGCGTGCCGGAAGATGAATATGACACTACTCTTTGTGAGTATGATGAAGAGTACAACTCTATTATTTCACAAACTTCGTTAGTTCAACAACTAAGGGCATGGTATCATTATCATAGAATAACTCATAGCTCGCTTAACCATCTATTGCGTGTGTTAAAATCAAATGGTATGAAATGCTGACCAACTGATAGCAGAACATTAATGAAAACGCCAAGATTGGTACATATTGAAAAAATGCGAAATGGTCAACTTTGGTATAATGGAATAAAAAAATTGTTTGAATGCAGTATTTTTTGATATTGATAGATCCGTAACGCTTCCAGTAGTTTTTAACGTTGACGGCCTTCCACCGTTTAACGCTTCACCATTACAATTTTGGCCAATTTTATTTAGAATCGATAATATGACATACATTAAGCCAATGGCTATAGCAATTTATATTGGCGACACAAAGCCACCTTTAAAAGAATACTTCAGACAATTTGTTGATGAGTTGAATGATATTTTGCATCGTGGTCTTTGTATTAATGGGCATCAGATAAAACTCATTATTAGATATTTCGTATGCGACACCCCAGCCAGAAATTTTATTAAAGGTAAATGTGTAATTTATTTATAATCCTCAAATTAATTCATTTATATAATTACTTTTTTAGGTACAGTTGGATTTAATGCAGCTCATGGCTGTATAAAATGTACAGTCGTTGGTGAATTTGACAAAAAAGGAAGGCACATGAGCTTTCCAAGAATAGATTGCCCTCTAAGAACAGATGAAAGTTTTCGTAATAAAACCGATCAAGACCACCACAAAGACGATTCACCCTTATTGGAACTGCCCATTAATATCGTGGAAGATGTTATTATTGCGGACTCCTTACATCTTTTTTTTTTTTACTATGTTAATTGGACCTGCAAATCGTTGAAAATACGAACGTTTCCTCTGACTCTGTGTCAATGCACTGTGTTAGCTGTTTCTCAATTGCCAAAGCGTCTCCAAATGTAAGAATTCCCGAGAATTTAAGGACACAGGAGTACTCCACCCATCCCTCTTCAGGTACGCTAGCAGCATTCGATCTCAAGTTTTCCCTTGGGGAATGGCTCAAATGTTCTGGCCACAACAGAACTCCATTATTTTCGCATTGATGGGGAACAACAGAGAAATAAATTCCTTTTTTTTCCCACGTTGAAACAATTTTAAAAGAATCCATGCCTTCGAATAAAAAGAACGTTACTAAAATCAGTGTTTTAATCGGTATATTTTTTATCAATAAGTCTGTACTTACCCTTTCTTTGTTATTTTTAATCCACAATAGCGCGAGCACGTGCACACAAGCACACGAAGTACCTACAACTGAAGTAACATTTTTGTTAGACAAAGATAGAAGTTAAAGTTCCAGATGGAACTATGAAGTGGCAGCGGAAACTTTGCTGCGACTTTAAAGTGACGCTATAGTGCCATTCGTTACCTTGCAGTAAACATTACTTTAAAGTCACACATTTTCAGTTGCCGTCACTATAGCCAAGTATAAATTACTTCGAAGTTGTGCTTTTTGGTGAGGGCGACTTCAAAGTTATTTTTATTTTAAAATACGCAATTTTTCTAGACAAATTTTACGCCTACATTAAATAAATAAAATAAAATACAATAATTTACCATATTTTATGCACCAATTTAATGAAATTAAAGCATAATAATTATTTCAAGTAGTAAAGGACAACAAAAAAAGCTTTTTTACATCTACCATGCAATTTTATTTTATATTGTTATACATTTTCAAGACAATATTTTAATAAAATATGAAAATTTGAATGGCGCATCGTCAAATTTCGACCTATCACCATCATGTTTGACAATAAATTCCCATGCGTTTTAGTTTTTGTACGCAGGCTATCCAAAAGGAAAAGATTATTATTGCCCTCATATTATAATATATTTTTAGGTTCTTAAAGAAATGAACAAAGTTTTATTCATGTATGTATGCAATGAAACAAATACATATGTATAACAAAATAAATTGCAAGACAAAGCAATCAAATAAAATTAAAAAGAGAGGTATAGATGTAAGGTGTCCTAAAAGTTGCATCTACTACGTTGCGACATCGCTACTACGTAACCATAATGTCAATGGAACATTTCCGGTTAGCGTATGGGAACGTCGCTTTAACGTAGCGGTTACCGAAAAATTATTCCCCATTTTGGTCGTAAGCACGTAATAGGAAGATTCCTATTACGTGCCCATCACTAGTGGCAAGGCACTTTAAAGTTACAACAATCGTCGCAGCTCCGTTCCAGCTACTATTTGTGATAGTTGGGTTAGAAATCGGTAAAAGAATATTTGACTTCTTTTTCCATCGCGTCAGAGAGGTACTTTTTCTAGTTTAGGTGCCGGGCAGTGTTGGTCTTTTCCGACCAAATTTGGTCGATTATTATTCATTTGGTAGGTTGGTCGGCAAAGTAAGATTTCGGTCGGATAGTTGAATTAAGTTTTTAAATTCTGAATTATAAAAATATATATTTCAAACATCATTTTGCATATAAATATTTGCCAATTGTACCTTTTAAACATTTGCCAATCCTGCCTTTAAAAATGAGAAAGCTAATTGGTTTGGCCACTGATGGAGCCAATGTTATGGTTGGAGACTTGGGCGTGCTGACAGCATTATTGGATGCAGTGCAGAAACCGATTTATTTTATATAAATTGCACATGCTACACACTTCACCTCTGCTCAACCTACACTTGTAAAAAATTACCGAAAAGCATTGAGATACTGTGCCGCAACATATATAGTTTCTTTTCCCACAGTCCAAAGAAGATACATGAACTGAAGGAATTTCAGGACTACTGTTCGGTAAAACCCCACGAAATCTTGGGCATATCTCAAAACGATGGTTTTCACTAGGAAGCGTTGTGTTAAGAATAGTTGAGCAGTGAGATAGTTTGAAACTTTATTTTATTTTCTGCCTTTACGAAGTAAACGGTATGCGATTTTCAGACCTAGCAGAAGACATGTGTTGCTCTTTGCTTCGAATGCTCTTTTATTTCTGTAGTATACTCCCATAATTAACAATCTTAACAAAGAGTTCCAAGCTAAAAGCTCTCGTTTGCCATACTTATATGCAACTATCAAAGCATATTATCTCTTAATTTTGAGTAAAAATGATGCGATCAATAACACAATAATGTTGATTTTAAAAATGAAAATAAACATGTTAAAATATCTGACATTTTTGTTGGAACGAAAGTTGAGATGTTTATGAAAAGCAATGTCAATTGTTCTCGAATCCTTGAAGTTAAAACCAATATACTAAAGTTTTACATAGAGTTTTTGGACCAAATAAATTTAAGATTTGATTCCAAGCGTGAAGATACAAAACTTTTACAAATAATGACACCACCTAAGGTAGTTTCTAAAGAAGATTTACCAATTTTACCTCTTTTGTTAAGTTTCCCCATCTCATAGATTGCGATCCTGATATAATAACCACGCAGTGAATTTATTAAGGCTAAGTGAGCTTGATATTTCCAGCGATCAGGATATTGATATGTTTTGGGAAAAAGTTTATTCTATTAAAAATGGAATTAATGAAAATAGCTTCATGCATCTCGCCAATTTTGTTTTTAATATAATTTCATTACCACATTTTGTTAAAAATTAAACTAAGAAATAAACTTAAGATTGACAATATCTTTCAATAATGTTATGCAAGGAACTTGTAAACAAAAATTACCCGCACTATGTGTAGTCAGCTGCTAAAGATTTGCATGTGTAATTAAATGATTTAAATTTACTTTTAAGCAATTAAATTTATTGGTACATAACATGTACATATGTACGTGTATATAATGTACGTGTATATAATTCATACAACCAAGTTCTGTAACACTCAGTCAATTAGCATCGATCATATTCTAAATTCGTGCCCCACCTTTCAACAAAATAGGCAGTACTACTTCTCCAACAAATCGGCTATAGACTTATTAAATGATGCTAACAAAGATAACATCCAAATAATCTTAAATTTTTTAAAAACTAGTAATTTGTACGATGAAATTTAATACTTAAATACACACAGATACACATAAACACATACACCCAACTCGTATACATGGGCGTAGCCAGGTAGGGGCAGGGGCCCGAGCCCTCCCCTCCCTAACTTCCAAATTTTTACCTAGATATTAAAAAATAGTACCAGGAAATGCTTGTTCGATAATTTCGTTTACTTCTTAAGTAATTACAGCAGATGGCAGAAAACACATAGCGCACATAGATTTCTATAACAAAAATATCATATTAGGGGCTGCTAATACATATATCTATTTTAAATTATAGTTAAATCATTAGTCATACTTAACTACAGAAAAATTACACAGAATTTTCTGTAGTTAACTTTAACTAATGATTTAACTATACTTTAAAATAGAAAAGTTACCGCCCTTTAATGATTTTTTTATTTATTACACGGTGTGACAAAACAAAACCAAGTAATATATTCAGCATAAATGAATATACCAGCATAAAAAATGTGCATACTCAAAATGTTCAACACGTCCTCATATTTATACAAGGATACATATGGGTCATTCCATACAATATTTACACCTCAATATTTTTTTTTTGATGAAATATATTTTTTTACATTCTTTATCGAAAAAAGAAGACACCTATTCCCGAAATTTTTTACTCACGAGAAAGTATTTTTTTTTCAATTGTTTGCAGTTAATAAACTATTTGTCGGAGAAAATCAGTCAAGTCGCGTTTAAATAGCGGCAAATCAGCTGCACTTGATAGTAGTTGATTGAATAAGGAAAAGTACCAGTTGACCGAGCTTTGCCCGGAGTCCATATACTTTTTATAGTTTTCAAGATTTGGATAGCTTTAAAAAAATATTTTGGAAATTAAAAAAAAAAAATTGGATTTCGTTATCTATTAAGTAAATTTCTCACTTCCAAATTTGGGTGGCAACCCTATTCCGAAATATGCTGGAATGAATGGTATGTACATATCTTGAGCGTATACATATGTACTTTATATACTTAAAAAACAAATGCCGAATGCAATTAACAAAAAAAAAATTTTATTACATAGAAGCGTGGCATCCCTGTTGGAAAATATTTTCTGACCAAAGTTCTCAACAATACCTTTCATTTGATATACATATTGCGATGTTTTCAATAAATTGTTTAGAATCGAAAATAAGTGGCAACCTTACACTATTGTCTTAAGGGATAACATTTTGTATATAGGGAAGGCATTGTTTAAGAACCTTTTCTTTGTACCCATGAATAGTAATATTTTACCTTTTTTTTCTACAAAAAATTAAATAAATATGCGATTCAAATTAGGTGACAACCCTATTTAAAATATTTTTGAATTAGGTATCTTTAAAATACCTTGCAATCGATACCCATATTATGATGTTGTAATTAATTTGTAACTAATTTCGAATAGGTGGCAACCTTATACGGGTCTTCTCGGAGATAGCGCCTATTCAGATAACCTTAAAATCCAAAACATTATCTGTGTACAAAATTTTATCGAAATCGTTAGAGCCGTTTACGAGAACGCTATGGATATATATATATACATATATACAAGAATTGCTCGTTTTATGTAATAAGATGAGTTAGCAACAAGAGTTTACGGGATGTACATAGCTCAGTGGTTAACGCTTCTGACTTTGAACATCGATTACGCAGGTCTAGAAAAAAGAAGTCTGATGAGGAGATGTGGTGATCTCCGAAATAGCTGATATAACTTCTACCGCTTAGACTTTGTTGCTTTTTAAATTTTTCCAAATAAACAATCGTGGTACAAAGCTCAATAAAAAATATTAAAAATAAAATGTTAATAAGCCACAATAACATTGACAAATACATAGTTTAGGAAGAGCCTGCCTGAAACTATACAAAAAAGCAAATAAGCAAATGGATGTATAGAATTGACAACAACAACCACGCTGTCGAGTTTAAAAAGCGGCAAATCAGCTGCACTTGATAGTAGTTGGTTGAATAAGGAAAATGAATTAGCAACAAGAGTTTAAGGGATGTACATAGCTCAGTGGTTAACGCTTCTGACTTTGAACCTCAATTACGCAGGTTCGATCCCTGCTGAAGTCTAGAAAAAAGAAGTCTGATGAGGAGATGTGGTGATCTCCGAAATAGCTGCTATAACTTCTACCGCTTAGACTCTGTTACTTTTTCAATTTTTCCTAATAAACAAT